CCACGGCCGCGAAGCACGTCCTCGTTCCGCACGGCCACCGCTGGTGCCGTAGTGCTCCGCGAGCTCCAAGCGGTGACCGCCCTGTCGGCCTCTGGCGGCCTTCGCCACCCGGTGCCGCCCAAGCCGGTCTGCTCGAAGATGGCCAGGGTCTGGACAATCAAGAGCCCCAGCGACTCGCACATCCCCTCGGGGTACTGGGCCAGCGGGCTCGCGCGGAAGGTGCCGTCGGCCAACTTGCCCTCGGCCGACTCGCGGGCATGGGACCCGTCACACCGCAGCTCATTCAGGCCCTCCAGCCCCTGCAGCGCGCCGCTCAGGCACGTGGGCTTCTTCGTCCGGCCGCCCAGCATGCACTGGTCCAAGCACGCTCTCCGCGACGAGCGCCTCGTCTCGAAGTCCAGCATCTCATTCGTGTTCCAGATGGATGGGTAGGGCGCGTGCCCTGGGCCCTCCGGGTGCTCGATGAGGAAGGCGCCGCCACTCTGGCCGCACGCCTCGCAGAGCGCCAACAAGTTCAGCGTCAGGGTGTTACTCTCCGCGACTCTCGCGGCCTCCCAGGCCCTGAGGCCTGGCCGACCCCAGGGGCACAGCCGCGATCGCACCGGCGGCGGCCCAGGTCGGCGACGATTGTAGCGCGCCCGCGACCAGGTCGAGCAGGGCGGGCCGCCCAGCACGATGTCCACCCAGCCGCCCTCGCACAGCTCCATCAAGGCGGAGAAAGTGGAGGGGTTGGCCAGGTCCCACCGCGGGTCGTCCAGGAGATCGGCGGAAAGGAAGAGCACCCTCAAGCTCCGCTCCTTCGCCAGCCTCTCGACCACCTCCTGAACGTCACCACGCCGCCGACGGCCAGCGAAGAGATGCATCACAACCATCACACGCTCGTCCTCCCTCTTCGCCCGCTTCACGGCCTCTATCCACTCTGCCACGCTGTAGCCCGCCGGGCTAGGCGGCGCGGCGCGGCAGCTGGACTGCTGCCCGAGCCAGTCGTCGTCGTAGCGATGCTGCTGAGCGTCCTCAGGTCCGGCATCCACGCCGTCGCCATCCTCCAGCCCCCCGTCCTCGGGCGACGAGGTGCGTGGCACACCGCTGGCAGCGCCGTCGGCGGGTGCCGCGGCGCCCGCAAGCGCCCCCAAGCGTGCGCCCACGCCCAGCAGCGCCCTGCCGATGATCGCCATGTTGACCGTCATGAGCAGGTGCACGGAGTGCGAGCCGCCCATGGCCAGGCGATGGTAGCAGGGGGCTATCCAGCCCGTCGGCCCCACCATGTCGCGCAGGCGCTGGCTGAGCTTCGCCCACGCCCAGCAGGCTCGGATCGGCGGGCATGCCTGCCACCTGGCCATCCACGCGGGGACGCGGAGGCGGGTGAAGGCGTTGTCCTCGTCGAACGCCGCCACGCCCCACTCATCCGTCGGGACGCACATGGAGGCGATGGCCGCCCCGCCGTGCATCCCGTGGTCCCCCCGCTGGTGCGGGTCGGCCCACACGTAGTTGCTGGCACACATCATCAGAACCTTCCTCTGCTTGGCGGGGTCCTTCTTGGGCACACAGCTGAACCCACAGTAGGCCTGGACGTCGCCGGGGGCCTCGAACGTCCACATGTCCTTCGGCAGATCGCCCCGCATCAAGTAGCGGGCGTACTCGGACGTCGAGCCCCCCACGAAAGCGAAACGCTCCTCCAGCTCCTCGAAGATGACCCCCGCCTTGCCGCTGTAGCCCAGAACGTTCTGCTCGTCCGAGTAGTACTGGCGCTCGCCGTCGGGCAGCGCCTCCAGCAGGTCCACGACCATGTCATCCGGCGGCTCTGCCACCGCCGATGCGCACATCGTCACGTGCCTGCTCACACCCTTGCGCTCTCCAGTGTAGGCGTCCTGCGGTCCTCGGTCGCAGGCAAGATCCGTCCCTTGACCGCCTGTCGGGGCAAGCCCCCGGCAGTCGCGCTCGTACCGCGCCGCGTCCTGTAACGCGTACTGCTGCACGAGCTGCCAGGCCAGCATCATCTCGTCGTCGCTCGACTCGCGCCGGCCCGCTGGACTCGCCTCCAGGGATCCGCGGCCCATCCCATTCATGAGCTCGATGAGCCCGCAGGCCCGACGCCACACACGCATGCGTCGAGCCCAGCGCGTCCTCAACCTGCCGGAAGAGGAAGCTCCTTGTTGTGGCCGATGAGGTAGAGGAACGGGGAAGAACGACCTGGCCTCGGCCTCCTTCCACTGCAGGGCCCGCGTCAGCGAGCCAGGCAGACCCGTCACTGGCATTCTAGGCTGCACCCGCGGCGGCGGGGCACCTACTCGGACCGAGGGAGGGTCGTAAGCCCCTCGGTCCGCCAGCGGCTGTCAAGCCTGGGGCTTGCCTCGGCCCGAGGGCTTACCCCCTCGGCCGCGGCCGCGCCCCCCGCCGTCGCCACCTCTGCCTCTGCCGCCACCAGCTGCCTCGGCGCCGCTGCCAGCTCCACCTCCGTATCCCCCGCCACGGCCGCCGCCTCGGCCGTCGCGCTTGCTGGCGGCGTGGACCCTCTCGTCGCGCTGGTGCTCGGCCTTGCTGTGGGTCGTGGCCTCGGTCACCAGCCATGTGGGGGCCAAGTCGGCGGCCGACCCGGGCGGGCGAACAGCCAGCATCGCCGCCGCCCCCACCTTGTCCTTCGTCCGCATCTCGTAGACGTAGCTGGCCAGCCGCCTCAAGTGCAACTCCAGCGCGTCGTCGGACGCCAGGCGGGTGAGCAGCTCGGACTGGGTCTTGCACCCGCCCAGCAAGTAGTCCACGTTGGTGGCGGCGGTCCACAGGTCGGTCCAGACCGCCGCGCGCCGCTGGCCCGTCACCTCCTGCGACAGCCAGTCGCGCGCGCTGGCCGCCCCCGCGCCCCGCATGGTGCGGTAGATCTCCGGCGCCGCGCGCCTCAGATCCGGCGGGAGGCTCAGGTTCCACCGGCTGTCCTCCTGCTGCTGCTGGGTCTGCGGGGCCACGGCCCACCCAGGGGAGGCCTGCATGCCCCCGCCGTGCGGCGCCGTGGCAGAGGAGAGCAGCGCGTCCAGCCCCTGCTGCAGCGACCCTCCTGGCGGGGACTTCGTTCCCGCGCCCACGTAGCCGTGGGTCTGCAGCACGCGTCGCAGGTCAGGGTGCAGCCCCAGGGAGCCGTCCACGGCCGCGATTCTCTCCCAGAAGTGCCAGGCCCAGTACACGTTCGTGGCAGCCTGCGCCTGGAACTCGCGGAGCGTGGCCCCTACCATTTGCACCTCTCGCCCCAGCTTCACCGCATCTGCAGGAGCATGAGGCGCATGGAAGCTGAGCCCTGCCGCTGGCACGGCCACCTCCGGCGGCAGCTGTGGCTGCTGCTGCTGCTGCTGCTGGGCCGCCGTCTGGCTGAACGGGCCTGGCACCTCGCTCCCCTGGGCGAACGCCCGCAGCGCCGCCAGGTCCTGCGAGCCGGGCTTCGCCGTCGCTGCACCCGCGCCCGCGCCCTCGGCAGGTGGGGCCCACGGGGGAAGCGGCAGCGCCGCGAGCCCAGGCGGGTGCAGCGGGCCCGTAGGCACCTCCGCGGCCGCCGCGCAGCTCCCCTTGGGCGTCGGGGCCCCCGGGGCGTCCCAGGCCGCGCTGTCGCCCTCGGCGGCAGTGAGGTCCAGGCCGTCCCCGCCGCTGCTGAGCGCTGCGGCGAAGGCCGCCCTCCGCCTCCAGCGCGTCCACCAGGCGACCGCACGCTCGGGGACGCGGCGCACGAGCAGGAAGGTCCCGAACATCCCCAATGCAGCGCCCGCCAGGCGGTGTCGCCCGGAGTCGGCCCACAGCACCACCACCAGGCTGGACAGGAAGAGGCCGATGCCCAAGTGCAGCACCCAGTCGACGGGCAGCGTGTCTCCGTCCTCGCCGACTGCACGGGCCCAGATCCGGTCCGCGACCTTCTCCCAGCCGTCAGTGTCGGCGGCCACTCGTCTAATCCGACTCTCCGCCTGCGTGGAGAACGTGGCGGCCTCCGTGAACCCCCAGAGGGCCTCGGCCATCTCGGAGCCCGGGACCTCGGGGCTCCCCAACGCCAGGCGGACTGCCACTGGGTCCAGCGCTGCCTCCAGCCGTCGCGTCTCGTCCAGCTTCGAACGAGGGGCCCGCCCTGCGTTCAGCGTCGATCTCACCTTCAGGACGAGCCCCGCGACGTCGTCGTCCGACACGTCCGCACCAGCGGACCGCAGCGCGTCGGTCCCCGCCTTCTTGGCACCGGCCGAGACCGCCATTCAGCTCCGTCTGGCGTCCGCCGCGCCTTTGGCGCGCGCCGCCCAGCACACCAGCTATCCGCGGCCTGCTGCTCCTGGGCAGCGCCGCCGCGGCCTCGCACAAGTCTTCGATTCCACGGGTGGAGTCCGCTGCTCCCGTCAGGGCGCCATGCCGCGCCCTGCTGCGAGGTGGGCTGGGCGCCCAGACCTCGCGATAATCTGTACCAGATTGGAGCCAAATGATACGGTTGCGGAGCAGGCCGTGCAGCACACGCGAGGGCAGGGGGGCCTTCACGGGCAACCAAAACACAACCTACCGAGCCCACCCGTTTTGGAGGGCCGAGGGGAGCCAGGCCGGGAACGTGGCCCACCGGCGAAAAGGCCCCCCAACAAGCTGGCACGCCCCTGCGGGCTCCGAGGCTCCAAGGAAAATTCCACGATCCCACCCCAAACTGTCGGTGCACATCAACACTCATGCTCTACGCATCATCATCATCATCATCATCATCATCATCATCATCATCATCATCATCATCATCATCATCATCATCATCATCATCATCATCATCATCATCATCATCATCATCATCATCATCATCATCATCATCATCATCATCATCATCATCATCATCATCATCATCATCATCATCATCATCGTCGCCATCCTCATCCTCATCCTCATCGCCACCCAACTTCCTCCATCCCGCCCCCCCGTCCGTCCACCCCCCGCCCCCCCGTCCGTCCACCCTCCCGCCTCCCTGGCCTCCACCGCGCGGCGAGTGGCGACGGGGCGCGGATCGCCCTCGCCGTCGTCGGGGTCGGCCTCCCACCCCTGCGCGAGGCACCAGATGGGCGGGCGAACCTGCGCCGCGCGGCCGGGGGAGGAGAGAGGAGGAGAGAGGAGGAGGAAGACGATAGGAGGAGGAGGGAGACGATAGGAGGAGGAGGAGGAGGAGGAGGAGGAGGAGGAGCAGGAGCAGGAGAAGGAGGAGGAGGACGAGGAGGAGGAGTGAGAGAGGCAGGGCAAGGCAGGGGAGGGCAGGGCAGAGCAGGGCAGGGAGGAAGGAGGGAGGAGGGAGGGAGAAGGAAGGAGGATGGAGGAGGCAGGGGCGAGGAGGGAGGAGGGAGGAGGGAGGGAGGAGGAGGACCAGTGTAAACCCAAGACTCATTAACGATGTTGCCGTAAAACCCTTCCTCCAAGTTCCCTCTTCATTGGCCTCTACGAAGGTTCATTTTCACTGAGGCAAATTCCCCGGTAGAAGATGACCGTTTGAAATTTTCAGTGTGTCAGACCACCATTCCTGGGACTTCAACACCGCGAGTCAACGCAACTGTTGCGCACGAACAGTCTGGCATCGTGCCAGACCACAGTTTCTGGGACGTGGACCATGAGAACCATTGAAACTGATGTAAGATCATAAAACGAATGTGCACAGCGATCAGGTAAGAGTCACAGATTAAAACCACCCGCCCTCCACCCGTAAACTCCTACATGGCTTGAAACGAATCTGCACGGCGATCAGGTAAGAGCCACATGTTGAAAACCACCCGCCCTCCATCCGTGAAACTCTTGCAAGCGTTTAGGACGAATGCGCGCGGCGCAAAGGCGAGAGCCCCATTTTGAAAACCAGCCGCCCTCCATCCGTGGAACTCCTGCAAACTGTTATGATGAATATGCACGGCGCTGAGGCGAGCCACATTTTGAAAACAGCCCGCCCTCCGTCTGTGAAGCTCTGGCCACGAGCAATTGTTTATGACGACTGTGCACGGCGCTGAGGCGAGAGCCACTTTTAGATAACGGCCCGCCCTCCATCCGTGAAGCCCCTGCAAGCCTCTGAAACGATACGGCGAGAACCACAGTTTGAGAACGGCCCGCCCTTCATCCGACAAACTCTTGCGAGTTTCCCGCTGAAGGATCCTAATTGGCGAGGAGCTCTGAGGAGAAACGCCCGGCCCGCCCTACCGAAGCGTCTCGGGGCGCAACAATGAGAGCTATCTGTACGGGAAAGGACTGGAGGAAAGAGGAGTGAAAGGGAGGGCAGGGAGTAGGGGGGGGAGGGGGGGGGAGGGGAGGGGAGAAGGGGGGGAGGGGGAGGAAGGAGGAGGACGAGAAGGAGGGCAGGTGAGGAGGAAGGGATGAGTGGAGAGGAAGGAAAAGGAGGGGAGGGAAAGGAGGGCAGGAGGGGGAGAGGGGCGACTAGAAGGCAATTCCTGTGATCCTCGTCACAACGAGCGAGGGGGGATACTACGATCTGGCAGGTGGCAAAAGAAAGGATCGGGCCAGATTGAGCCTGGGGATGAAGCCAGCTTCAACAGGATCAATCTGGAAGCAGGACAAGCTGGATCAAGACGGTTGGCTGGCAACGGATATACCAACGCCAATGCTGTGCTCAGTCTCCCCTCCGAGGAGTGGCAGGCCCTGCCTCGGTCCCCGACCGTCCCCTCGGGTGCGCCGAAGAGTGGGGGGCCAGCAACAGGGGGGGGGGGGGGGGGGGGGCACACCATGCTGCTCCTCCTCCTCCTCCTCCTCCTCCTGCTCCTCCTCCCTCCTCCTCCTCCTTCTCCTCCTTCTCCTCCTCCTCCTCATCTTGGAACCGTCCTCCTTGGCGTCCTCATCGTTCTCCTTCGACCTCCTCCCCCCAGTCCTCCTTGTCTCCTGCTCTATCCTTTCGCCTGGCCACTGGCCCCCTCGCGCTGCAAATCCATTCAAGGACCAACCTGTTATTTGACTCGACACATGGCTTGGCGAATCGGGAAACTGAGCACGTTGGAAAGAGATGGGAGGGAGGGGTGGGATGTCAGATGTGGCGCAAGCACCTCACGTGTCCCCGCGCCCCCGCCCCCCCCACGCCCCTCTACAAATACACCATATGAATACTACTCTCCTCTCTCCCCTGACTACGTCCGGAAGATGCCGGGCCCCCCCTCCGCGTGCTGTTTTTGTACACAGGATTCCCGGGAGTTGAGCTTTCGCTTGGATGTTTGTCCACATGTTGCTCCCGCTGAAGCGCTGGCCTGATTTTCGGGCTTCCGCTCGTTCCGAATCGTGCTCCCGCTGCAGCGCTGGCCTCGTTTCCGCGCTTCCGCTCGTTCCGAATCGTGCTCCCACTGCAGAGCTGGCCTCATTTCCGCGCTTCCTCTCGTTCCGAATCGTGCTCCCGCTGCAGCGCTGGCGTCATTATTTCCAGTGCCATGCCACGGCATGCAATGCAATGCTGTGTGGCGTTCCGCTGTGCGATGCTTTGCCTTCAGCTGCTCTGCTAGGATATGCAATGCTTGACTACGCAGCGCCACGCCATGCTATGCCATGCCACGCTTTGATCTTCAACGCCATGCTATGCCATGTTCTGTTATGTGCCGCTGCGCGATGCCACTATTCGCGTTGCACTGCCTTGTTGATGCAATTGTTCACTGCGCAACGCCAAGCCATGCTATGACATACTACGCCCTGCCGTGTCCTTCTACGCCCTGCTACGCCGTGCTCTACGATGCGTCGCGCAGCCCCTCGGGATCATTGCTCTGCTCGGCATCCGGCTGTGCGAATAGAGAAGAGATCTACGCCATGGTAAGGGATGGGAGGGAGGGGCAGGACGTCAGATGTGACGCAAGCGCACCTAGCTTGTCCCTACCCCTCCCCCCTCTCCTTCTCCTCCTCGAATCAACCTCCCATCCAGAACTGTTTTTGTTTTTCTGAAATGTGTGTCGTTCCTGGGGTGATTTTGGCGCCCCAGCCCCATCCTGGGAAGCGCCTCAGGGCTCCAGGATTTGTTTTTCATGGCAGGATCTTGCCCCTCCACTCGCATTCCCTTCCGCTCCTCGAACCCAGATTCCCCTCCTGCACCCCCCTCCTTCCCCATCCCCTCCTCCAAGGCCTCCCTCATCCCTCCGCAGGAGAGCCGCCCAGAATCGAATCGATAAGTCGGATCGGCGATCGAAATGAATCGTATCGACGGAAATCGACAGCCAAGTCGGGAGAAGTCGAATCGGTGGAAATGGCAAGCTGGTAAGGCCTCCATCGAGAAATCGGAACCCAAAGTCGAACCCAATCGGAATCGAAATCCATCGAAATCGCATCGGATCGGAGGAGCCGAAATAAGCCCTGTCTCCCCCCCCCCCTCTCTTCCTCCTCCCCCTTTGCTGGATCCGCCCCCCTCCGGGGGGATGAGCGATGGGAGTGGCTGAGCGAGGGAGGGCGTCAGGGCGATGGTTACCTCCGCCAGCGGGTGCCGACGAGGGTGAAGGAGGAGGAGGAGGAGGAAAAGGAGGAGGAGGAGGAGGAAGAGGAGGAGGAGGAGGAGGAGGAGGAGGGAGAGGAGGAGGAGGGGGAGGGGAGGAGGAGGAGGAGGAGGAGGAGGAGGAGGAGGAGGAGGAGGAGGAGGAAGAGGAGGAGGAGGAGGGGGAGGGGGAGGAGGAGAGGAGGAGGAGGAGGAGGAGGAGGAGGAGGAGGAGGAGGAGGGGTAGAGGAAGAAGAAGAAGAAGGAGGAGAAGAAGAAGAAGAAGAAGAACACTGCGTGCCCCGTGCATGAAGTCCGATCAACCTCAAAAAGAGGAGGAGGAGGAGGAGGAGGAAGAGAAGGAGAAGAGAGGAGGAGGAGGAGGAGGAGGAGGAGGAGGAGGAGGAGGAGGAGGGGGAGGTTGACGCTTCTACGGATTCGCTACCAAAGTCCGCCCAACCGCCCAACGCGAAGGGAAAAAAACTCAGGATTGCGCAAGAGGAGGAGGCGGACGAGGAGGAGGACGACGACGACGACAACGACGAGGGCGAGGACGAGGAGGCAGAGGGCAAGGACGAGCATGAGGAGCATGAGGAGCAGGAGGAGCAGGAGGACGAGGACGAGGCCGAGGACAGGACCAGCGAGGACGAGGAGCATCAGGACGAGAACGAGGACGACGAGAAAGAGCACGAGGACGCGAGCGAGGAAGTGGACAAGGAACACGAGAAGAGGGGTCCACTTGGTGCCCTTCCGCCTCCCTCCCCCGCCCCGGAGAACCAAGACGCCGGTCTTGAGCGAGATGCCACCTTTGCCAGTGCCCAGTGGCATCTGGGTCTTCTTCCAAGTGGTCATGGGGGTGGCATCGCACCAGATGACGATGCCCTGCTTGATTATGTCGACGTTTTCCTCCCCAGCCAAGAGGAAGCCCGACCCTAGTGCCTCACCACGCTTGCGGTGCGTGAAAGCATTATGCACCCCTTCTTACAGCATCTGGCTCTCTCTCTCGCTCTCTCTCTCTCTCTCTCTCTCTCTCTCCTGGGTTATTTGTTAAAAGGTCCCTGAGCCCGGCGGGGCCAACCGGACGCCGAACATTCGCATGATTGCGTCCTGGTCTGTTCCATGCGTTGGAAGTCCAGGGTGCCCACGACAGCCACAGGCGCAGCCACGCCCTGCAGCCGTTGCCACTCACAGCCCGCGAAACCTCGCAAACAACGGGGATCAGCGCGTGCCACCGACCACCCGAAGCCGTACCAGCCATCCAACGCCTTGATGTGTTCCATACGCGGCCCCCGACGTCCCAAACCTTGTTGTGTCGCATTGGCGGCGCCTTGTTGTGTTCCACTGGCGGCGCACAGAGTGGGGTGCGGGTGAGGGGGGAAGGCTTCTGAGAAGCAGGGGTGCTCCTGAGAGGCCCTCCCCCCTCCCCCACAATTACCCCCCTCTGCGCGCGGCCGACCATCCGGGGCCACTGTGTGGACGGCACACGAGCCCGGCGGGAGCACCCGGAGAGGCCGAACACCTGCAAAAGCTGCGCCTGGACCTGTTCCCGCTGGAGGCCTGGGGCGGGGCGAGAGGCGACGGCTCTCGCGTCCTGCTGCGGGCCGCCTCAGCCCGAGGCGCCGAGGCAGCACGAGACGCGGGCGACGCGCGGGGGAAGATCGGGGAACCAGTGATGGCAGAAACGTACAACTTTCGGAGCTCCGCGCGGGTTTCTCGGATCGGCGCTGGAGCCCTCTGGCGGCGCCTCCAGCGCCGCCAGGGAGGGGGGTCAAGACCGATCCCCAGGAAATCAGCGCGGACCTCCGAAAGTTCATGTCTGTGCAACGATTTCTTCCTGGAGAAGAGGAGCCCCTGCAGGTGCTGGCGGGTCGGCGGGAACGTCAGCGACGTCCGGCGGGAGAGGATCGGGCCTCAGATGGCGCCGGAGGCGCGGCGCGACCCTGTGGCCCCGTCAACGCACTGCCCCATTCGGCGACTCCACAGGGTGTGGTTTGCAAAGGGTGTGGTTTGCAACCCGAACCCTGGGGGGCGGGCGAGGACCTGGACAGAGATTTCCGCCGCACCCCGAGGAGGCCCGACAATGGCAACGTGGTGCCCCCCAAGCCCCAACGATGCAGATCGCCAACCACAGCCCGGCGTAACCACACCCTTTTAAGTCGCCGACCCTTACAGCTATCGCGCTGCAGAGGAGACACGCCAAAGAAGGAACGAAGGAGCTCTCCTGGCGGGAGGGGTCGAAGGCCACCAGACAGAGGTGGCACGATTCTGTCTCTGCTCTAATCTGGAGGTGCCCTTCAAGTCCTCCCGCAATAATCTTCGGCCCACCTTCGTGCGCTCATCGGCTCCCTCGCGGCCTCCCTGGGGCCCCCTGACCTCCGTGCGGAGTCGGCGGAACCAGCAGCAGGGCCTCTCCAAAAAGAAGGACCAGGAACGACGGGGCTGTCCCGGCCACGGCGAGCCTCGGTCGCAGGGAGGCTCCCCAGCCCAGGCACGAGGCACGGCCCGAAAACGCGGAGCCCCCATCGGAGCCCACAGTGGCCCGCCGACTGCCTGGAGCACGAGGAGGCCGCGGCTCCGAACGAATCGTCTCGCAGCCGGCGGGGGCCGAGCACAGCCCGAGGCCGGTGCCACACACATCTCGGAGCGGAGCAGACTGTCCCCCTGGCGGCCTCCTCGCTCGCTGCAGGAGGCCGAGTTCCCTCCGCTTCGGCGCTCCCTCGACTTCGAAGGGTCGCGCGTCAGAGTCCAGCCAGCCGCGGAAAGAGCGGGAGGTCCACCTCACGGGGAGGGATTGGGGGTCATGCCTTCCCCTCTTCCCTCCCTCTTTCTCTCTCTCCTCTCACCCGCGCACTCCCCCACCCGACCCTCTCCCCCTAGGGGGAGAGGTATCCCCCCCGCATCTGGCGCGCCACGAGAGATTGCACCTATGATCTTCGCCTCGCGTGACGAAAGGCTGCGAAGGGTCAGCGCATGAGTCTTCTTCCTCCCTGTGCTGGTCTTCCTCCCTGCCCCTTCTTCATGTTCCTTTGCCATAGCCCGAGGACCCTCTGGGGCCAGCTCATTGGATGTCCCAACTCTGCTGCTTGACCCTCTCCTTCCCACCACACTTCTTCCCTCCATTCTCTACCCCTTACTCCTCCACCCTGCCTCCTCCACATCCCTCCCTCATCCGTCAACCCCACTGCTTGCTCTTCTTCCCTGTGCCGCTCCCTCATCCCTTGCCACTCTTCCTTCCTCGCCCACTACTACTTACTATGATCCGCCTTTCCATCCGCTGCTCACCGCCACCCATTCTGTGGTACTGCTCACGACCCCTTCAGCCTGTCGGTTCAGTGCCGACTCGCCGACGATCAGTGCCTGCGGATGCCCCTCGAACGGGAGCTCGGAGAAGTCCTGGGGGCACCCCAGTCAGCTGCAACGACAACATCTTGATGACACTCCCCCTCCCCCTCTTCCAAGCTGAAGATTGGACCCCCTCATCCCCCCACTTTTCGGATTGTGAGTTGTACCTCCTCCTCCTCCTCCACCTCCTCCTCCTCCTCCTGCTCCTCCTCCTCCTCCTCCTCCTCCTCCTCCTCCTCCTCCTTCCCTGTCTAAACCCGTGAACCCAGAGGCTGATGCCCGAACGCTAACACCCTAGCATTGACACTTATGGTTTTTATTGACAGGTCAAGTACGCGCGTGTGGAGGCATGGCGTCGTTTGGCGGTGGAAATACCTAGGCCAAGATGGGGCCCAGTCAGGCCTGGTGGGGCTTGAGGCCACTGGCGATGTTAACAAGAGCAAGGTGTGATACTCTGCAGGTGCAGTGTGAAGACGAAGAACAGACGGGGCTGCTGCAGTGGCGTCGGGGGCGTCCAAGAGGAGGGCGTCCAAGAGGGGGGGGGTGCAAATCATGACCGGCGGCATGTACACGGCCCAGGGGGGGGGGCCCGGGACGCATTGCAATAAGAAGAGGCGCCATGAAATCTGGGGAGATAGCATGGCCCCCGCCATGATATCCAACCCCCCCCCCTAGTCATCACCCCTTCCTGCCGCCTTCTGAGGAGGCCTTTTCCTTCTCACTTCCCCCCTCGCTCGCCGCCGAGAGGCATGACAGAATGCTGACATGGGGCAGGCACGGGCAAGGTGATGTCGAGCAGGAGACGACGAAGGGACAGTTCAGGGGTGACCCGCGCAGGGGGGGATCGCTCGAGTAGGGGATCGACTACAAAAGTGATGTACCCCAAGATTGTTGGCTCGTCGAAATCACGAACTGATGCCTAGAATGTTCCGCAGACCTGCGGAATATTAGAAATAGTTTTCGTCGACGTGACGAGCAAATCAAATCTCAGGGTAATGAATTCTGTAGTCGATCCCATACTCGAATATCGAGCTGGCGCCGGCGATGCATCGCCGATGGATCGGCGATTGGCCCCGATAGCGACACCTCACACTCCTGGGCGCGGCGGGTGAGCGGGCCCTCTATCGGCGATGCATGGGCGTTTTGGGGTCGATGCCTTCCACCCGAGCCCATCCCAGCCAGCGCTGCCCCTGAAGAGAAGGGCCAGGGACTCATGCCGTCGAGCACGAGCGAGGGGGGGAGACTCCCCGCATGCAAGGGACGCCTACTTCGACGTCGTCCACAGAAGGGGCGTGGAATGGGGGGGGTCGCAAATCATGGCCCGAGTCACGTGCGCGCACGAGGTGGGGCAGGGGACGTGTTGAAAGAAGGAACAAAAGGGGCATGACATCCAGGAAGTATCATGGCCCTGGCCACGTGATCCAACACACCCTAGTCCTCACACTCTTCTTTCGCCGCCCCCGACTGTCTGGTGCCCGAAGCAGGCTTGGCCAAAGGGGCTCCTTGATGACGGAGGCCTCTATGTCACGGTACTCCTCCTCGTCCTCCTGGAAGATGTCCAGGGCAGCAATCCTGGACCTGAGGCAGCGGGGACCACCATGAGAACGGGGGGAGGCGCCGCGGGACGGCGAGGGCGAAGGCCGACGACGACGACGCGACGACGACGACGACGACGACGACAGCGTGCGACGGCAACGGTGGCGGCGGCGGCGGTCTCGGAGTCCGTGATGATGCCCTCCAGGATGAGCCGGCGACCCGTTGGCCCTGCTCAACCACGAAAGTCCGCGGGTTAGCGTCGCGCGTGATCGCCTTGATCTAACCGCCGTAGTCGGGGACCACCACTCCGCCCACGACGTCGACGCCCCTGAACGCCAGTCCTGAGCGCGGGACAATCGGCAGGCAAGTGCCCAGCGGCGCAAGAGCGGCCACGCCCGTCCGCGCAGGCGAATAAGTCGTAGCCGGCAACCTGAGGCGCGCCCCGCACCGGTGATTGCGCGTTGGGGCTCAGAAGCTCGCGCGCGTCGTGGGCGTCGCCGTCAAAGTGATTGCTGCCCACTGCTAGTAGCGTGAGCTATCTAGGTGCCAGTCCCCTGGTCGGTGGTTGGAGCTGGTCAGAATTGTCGACTGGCATGCATAGGTGGCCACTCGGAGCTGACTCTAGGTCGAAATGCACGGCGCCTGGGCCCCAGTTGATTTCGTAGCCCCCAGGGAGACGTTTGCGCGCCCACTGTTGGACCGCGTGGACTGCAGATCGAGAAGGGCAGGGAGATCTAAGCCATCACCTTCCACTGCAGGAGCACGCATGCTGTGCCGGGTGGTCACGCCATCGCCGGTGGCAACCGCATAAGGGCATTGTACCTCCCAATTGGCAACCTGTGCGCCGTTGCCCACTCCCGCTACGTAGAATGGAGACGCGAGCCCGGCCAGAGCCTCGCCTTCGCGGCATCGTCGCCCAAATTCATCGCGAACGGCCCAGGCGCCGGCACCCACGACGACGCCAAGCGGGCCGCCTGGGAAGACGGCGCTCGCCAATTACCATGGTAAATCGGTCGGTGGACTCGGGAGGTACCTGACGAGGTTTGCCACCGCGGGAACGTCGGTCGGCGCGGCGGAGCACGCGGGTCCAAGCGGGCGTCGCACGGCACTGCCACGTCGGCAGCGGACACAAAACTACAAGCACTTCCAGGGGACCAAGTGTCCCGGGCGTCGGCGCAGGCCGAGGAATCCGGACGGCGCCCCGCTGCAGCGGCGTCTCCACTGGCACGCTGTCGTCTTGCAACAGCTGGGCCAGCGCCACAGGCGCCAGGCCAGGAATGCCAAAATCTGCCGCGCGGGCCGGCATAACGATTGCTGGACCCGCTGCACGAAACGGAACTCGGCGATGACGTCAGCCGGACCTCGGCACGCCGAGCAGCGCCAGTTGGGCGTCGGTGTTCTGCATGCGTTGCAGGCAACATGCCCGGTGCTAGACACGGCGGCACTGCAGGCGCATCACTCGATCACAATGCATGAACGGCTCCTCACTGATAGGACAACCCCAATCGTCGCCATCGAAGACCGCAACGCGGGGTGCAACGGGTGCGGCAGCTGGCACAGGAGGTGGATTAGTGGGGATGTGCGTCCAGATCCGCGCGGCAAGTGGTCGCTGCTCGCCCTGTTGTCGTAAGAGCTCAGGTGCGGGCTGGGCCATGTAGAACTCGTCGAAGTGTCGTCGTTGCCCGCGGCCAGGCGCGGAGCCTACTCCGCGGTCGGACCCCGCGCCGCTGGACATGCAGGCGTCGCAGCTGGCGAAGCACATGGCCACCTTCCCAGATGGCTGGCTCACGCCACTGGGGGCGCGCTGGTTGAAGAGAGCCAGATCGCTGGGAGACTCTGGCATCGGTGGTGACACGGCTACCAGCGCGGACTGCGGCGGCCACATGGAGCTCGCTCCACATGTCGCGCCAATGCCGAGGCGCTGAGAACGACGGCGCGCAAGTCCAACTCGACAACTGCACATCGGCAGGTGCGGCAGCTAGGATCGCTTGCCCAGTCGCGCCACCGCCGTGGCCACAGCGGGAAGACGCCGGCCACTCCGGCCAAGGGCTGCGGCGTCAGCGCAGGTGGCGCTGCTGATCCCGCTGGAGCTGCGGGCGCCGAGGGCGCCGAGTTCCCCACCCCTGCCGCGCGGACTGGACGCGCAGTTGCCCGATCCGCCTGCCGAGCAGAGCCCGGCGCGCGCGGCCCACGAGGTCGCCCATCCTCTGGTGGAGTCGCCATCGCCCGGCCTGGCGAGGGCCGGGCGAAGCCGATGAAGACGACGAAACACTCACCAAACGTGACCACTGGTTCTGGCCAACTACCTGCCGAGAGCTGTCGGACGAAGCACTGGGAGATACCGCTGCTGGCGTTGGCCGCGCAGCCGCCGAAGTTGGGGTCGGCTGGCCGCTGCGCCAGGGATCGGCGCTCTGCACGGGGACACCGCTGCTGGGCCCCAGAACCACCGGTTCCGGCATCCCGCGGGTTCCTCTGGCCATCCAGACTGAGTAGGCACCTGGCGCTGATTGTCGAGCGCTGGCCCAGACGCTCCGCGGTGCCCTAGGTGCGCGAGTGGTGAGGATAATGGCGTGGGCGGCGGTGGCGGCGCTGAAGCTGGGACGCCGAATAAGAGGGCGCGCCCTCGCCAGCGCCGACGGGGACAGTCGCGCGCGAGCTGCTCCTCCGAATCGCACTCGCGACACATTAGACGTGTCTCGCCAGGGCCCAGCGGGCTGCCTCGTCGGCCAAATCTGAACCCACTGGTCCGATGTTCGCCATTCCCCCTACCCCTGCCCTTCCCGACGCCAGCGAAGGTTTCGCGGAGGTCGTCGTCGAGCAAATTGACCAGGAAGGCACGGCATCCTTTTCCTACGGCCCTGGCCCTGGCGTTCGCTGATACTCCGCACGCGACGCGCCGACCTTCCATTGTCCAGGCGGCGCCATCGGGACTCGGCGCGCTCGTCAGCCCAAAGGAGCCGCGCGCCGCGCTGCCCCACGGGAACTTCGCGCAGTTCGGGGTCGCCAGCAGCGATTTATCCCCCGAGTGGGCATCGGTGCCAGAATCACAACCCGCTGCTGGACATGCCGACTGAGGTGCTGGTGGTGCGTCGGCGTTGGCGGCTGATGGGGCTGACGGAGGACTTGGTGCTCCTCCTAGGGCTGAAGGGCCCATGCCATCCCAGCTCGATCTGGCGCCAGTGCCGCAGGCACTCTGATCCTGCTCGCGCGCGGGCGCGCCCGTGAGAAACGCTCGGCGTCGGGGCGAGCGCGCGGCCGTGGCGAGGTTGCCCAGCGAGCCTTCAACCATCTGTCCGAATCTGCACGCCGGCCCATCATGCGCCAGCTGCGGCGCGTCCGCCAGATCGGCCACGCTGCAATGCTGCAGGATCATGGCGAGCTATGTTCGACACGCCCACCGCGCGATGCAAGGGGTAGCGGAAGCGCGCGCAGCTGGTCCTGAACTGGCCAGCCTGTTGCGCCCCGTTGCGGATGATGTCGAACCTTGTGAGGAGGTTGTCGGCGCGCACCTGCGGCAATCGGATGAAACCGATCGGAGCCGACACCGCCTGCGCGCACTCCTCCTCTGCGAGCTGGCCCCACCGTTCGGCCAGGCTGCGCGTGAGGCAGGTCATAGAAGGCACTTGGTAGCCGTTGATATGACGACCTGGGTGAGGACAGACGGCGGCCACTCGTCCACGCGCTCGCGAGCCATGCGGATCGTGGGAGACGGCGCGTAAGCCGCCCGGCGAAACACGTTGAGATCCGAGTTCGACACTGACCAAGTCATTACCTTCCGCGCCCAGTCCTGGCAGGGCACGCGAGCCTGCAGTTCGGGCCCCCATGCGCGGAGGCGTGGCATGTTGCCACCCCCGCCACCGCCCGCGCCCACGCAGACGACGCAGCTGATTGCAGCGGCCATTCCAACGCCGATGGCCTTCCATCAAAAGTGGATCCCCTCCAAGGCGTCTATGAGGCGCGACAGCACTGGAACCCACCAACGGCGATGTTTCGGCAGCGATCGTCGGAGCCGTTGTGGGAACCTGTCCCTGGTGCGTTCCTCATCATCAGCGTTTGTTGGGGGGCTGTTGTTTTGTCGCGCGATTGGACCGCTGGCTGCACTCGGAGCGCTTCGCCACATCTTGGCGAAAGAACTCGTCGTGAGTCGCATTGCCACTGCATTGAACACTGCCCAATGCGCCGCTGTGGCCTGCACTCGCTCCACCCGGCTTCCACAACACAGTCGCGGACAACTCGCGGCGCCTTGCCGACGCCAACGATGTGAATGTCGGATCGAACGACTGCTTGACATGGTCGGCTACACCCACATGCGCATGCTATGAGGGCAATGCGTCCTTTGATACCTCTCCAGTGGCGATTAGGTCGGGGCCCACTGGTGGACGCAGTGACGACGTAGGACCCCGAGAATTTCGAACACAGTTCGAGAGTACCCGAAAGGAAGAGAAAGCAGGTGGGCGCGGTCCTTCATGTTGATGTCCTGGTGGTGGTAGTTGTGAGTACCACCCGCGATCGCACCTGGCGGCTGGGCGGGTGTTGCCCCGACGGTCCCGAAGGAGTCGCCGCCTGCAGCGATGAACGGGTAGAGGTACGCGAACACGGAGAGCGCGGCCCAGCGCGAGATCGCAGCTGGGGGCTATAACACGGTGAGCATGATGAGGTCGCACATGTCCAGGTTGTACAGCGAAGTGAGCTGGTGGAGCCCTGCCCATCGAAGCAGGGCGGCGAGAGGATGCCATGCAGGCCGTAGCAAAGCTTGGAAGGGAGCCGACGCCCCACGGCCAACGAGAAGTATATGAGAGATATGGGGTAATTCTGGTTTAAGGTGCAAAAAATCACACGAAACAGCTAAAACTGGAAATGACACGGGCTCGGCAGGTTGCTACCTGCCGTAACCCCGAGCCAGAATGGCAATGGAAAAGGGAGACCATCAAGAGAGGCAAAGGCAGCGGAAAAGCGATGCTACCGTTCGAACAGCAGCAAGAGGAGGAGGCAGAAGAGGAGGAGCAGGACTAAGAAGGAGGACGGAAAAGGACGAAGGAGGAGCAGGAAGACGGAGGAGGAGGAGGAGGGAGGAGGACGGAGAAGGAGGACAGAGGGGGAGGAGGAGGCGCTCGTGCAGGGCGGGTGACTGCAGCGAACTCAAAACGCTTTGCTTGGTCGACGATGAAGGAGGGAGGAGGAGGGAAGAGGAGGGAGGAGGAGGAGGACGAGGAGGAGGGGAGGATCAGGAGGAGGACGAGGAGGAGGAGGCGGAGGAGGAGAGCAAAGGACAGCAGAGGAAAGGGAAGGATGAGGGCCATCCAAGTGCTTGAACGCGTTGGCCCCTACTAACCCCGAGGGACCTCGAGGGACCTTCAGGGAAGCCTCTCCCCCCTCCCAGGTGGGGACGGCGGCCGTGATGGGCGGCAACTGGACAATAGAAAGATATCCAGATCAGGGAAAGCAAACACGACCACGACAACGACGACGACGACGATGACGACGACGACCACGACGAAGACGACGACGACGACGACGACGACGGGCGACGGGCGACGGGCGACGGGCGACGGGCGATGGCGGCGGCGGCGGCGGCGGCGGAACGGCGACGACGTAGACGAGGGGAACATGCTTGCTTTAAGTGAGAAGTGTGCTGGGGGAAACTGGCTCTGGACCCAAGGAATCCCCCGGGACCAGCCTCTCAGCTCGAGTCGTTTTCGTTTACGCTCCTGGGGCACGGAGGCGAAGGGCACCCAGAGGCCGAACACTGCGAATGCCCCAGGACCCTACAACCTTCAGGAGCCCCCTGCGCACGGCGAGAGGGGGAGGGGGAGCGGGGCAGCAGCGGACGAAGATGGCAGACAGGCGGAGGCGAAGGGCGGAAGGCAGAGGGGGCAGAGTCGGCACAGGGGGAGCGGGGGAGCGGGGGGGAGAGCCCGCAGTGCGACGGGCGCAGGGAGAGGGGCCTCTTGGACAGCTCGTCGTCGGAGTCCCAGAGGGTGTACTCGATAAGGGGGTAGTCCACGTTCGGTTTCCGCTGCAGCGCCATCGTACCTTCAAGGACGATACCAATATAAAAAATATATGTATATATGATTGTCCAGAGGCCCCAGAGACACCCCGGAACCGAATCCGAAAAGCTCCCGAGGGCTCCCCCAAGAGATCCCGGAAGCACCCAAGCGGTCTCTGACATATGACCCAGCCACGGTGGTGGGATGGGCCGAAAGTCACTCGACTCATAACTCGATAGATATGTGTACATACCGGTATATGTACATATATGTATATACAGAGGTAGATATATATGCATACATATATATATATATGTGCAGACATTCATTCATGCATACATGCGTGTATACATGCATACATACATACATACATACATGCATGCATACATACATACATGTGTACGTACCTACTGATTGCATGCATACCTGCATATATGCATGCATACGTACCTACTGATCTACATGTGTATAAATGTATACACACCTAGCTACATAATTGTATACATACCTACGGTCATACCTACATACATGCATGCATGCATGCATGCGTGCATGCGTACATGCATACAGACATATATATATATATATATAAATTATATATATATAATATATATATATATATATATGCTTCTCTACACCTGTTTTTGTGCACTCCGCCAGGGAGCTTGTCAGGCCAGGACCTCTGGGGGCTACTCAGGGGTCAACCCAGGAGTTGGGAGAGGTCCCGTCCCGTCAGCGGCATCCAAGGGCCTCCCAACCCGCCTGGCACAGCCGTGGCGCTTAAGCACCCGCGCTGCATCCCAGACGAGCTGACACACTTGCACCGCCGGGAGGTTAACGTCACCAACCCCTGACCCCCCTAGCTCTCGTCCTGGCAATCACTCGCGCGGAGGCAGGCACGGCCACGCGCGAGACGGTAGCTATGCTGCCCCCTGTCTGTGGGTGGGCCAACACAGCTACGGAAGATGGATGAAACTCAACCGTTCCCCATCAACGGCGTCGCGCACGCTCAGGTGGACTCCGCATAGGCTTCCTTGGAAGGTTACTATATGCTTGTCTACACCTGTTTTTGTGCACTCCGCCAGGGAGCTTGTCAGGCCAGGACCTCTGGGGGCTACTCAGGGGTCAACCCAGGAGTTGGGAGAGGTCCCGCCCCGTCAGCGGCATCCAAGGGCCTCCCAACCCGCCTGGCACAGCCGTGGCGCTTAAGCACCCGCGCTGCGTCCCAGACGAGCTGACACACTTGCGCCGCCGGGAGGATAACGTCACCAACCCCTGAACCCCCTAGCTCTCTCCACGGTCCCTACCCTGGCAAAAGCCGCTCCCTCTTGCTCTTACCTATTCCCTCCACCCTGCTGTAATGAAATGCGGGAGGAAAGGTGGAGGATGGGCGGGACAGACAGACAGGCAGTACAAAGCAAGAACAGTTCATCTCGCTTCTGCTCGCAGTCGGGACGCGAGCAGGCCGCAGCGCCTCCGCTGCGTGGGCGAGAGATTTAATTGAGTGGCCTCGGCGACGGCATCCTGGACATACACGCGGGCCGTGCGCGCCGAGGCCCACCTGCCTCGGAGCAGCGTCTGCTCCATGGAGCCGTGGCTGCGGAAGTCGGCGGACGCGCCGCCCCGACGCCAGCTGTAGAGGGTGAGCTTCGCATCTTGCAGCTCCAGCAGCTCACGCACGCGGCCAAAGGTGCTCATGAAACTGCTTGGCTCCATCCCGAGGCACAAGTCCTGCTTGTGCGCCTGAGCCTTTGCCCTGGCGAGGAGGGCGACCGCTACGCCGCTCCGCACGAGCGCGAACTCTCGGGCACCAGTCTGATGCTGGCTCTTGGTGTTGCGCAGCTGCAGCACGGCCATTTGGCGGAGTGGATACAGCTGCACGTCGGACCACACGAGCGAGGTCATCTCACCCGTCCGGAGGAAAGCGTCGTAGCCTGCTGCCAGCACCGCCGCAGCGCCGAGCTGGCCCACGGCCGCAAATGCCCCTGCGAACGCTGCCGCAATCAGCGGCCCGATCGGCAGCGCCCGCCCAGCTGGCTCCAGGCGTTGCCACGTCTTGGCCAAGCGCCAGCTGTCCCGCAGGTGCCCTCGCACGGGCGGGAATGCGTGCGTGATGCCTGCGATTGCATTATTTATCTCAAATAAAGATCCTCCGCTCAGCCAACGGCTCTCGATGAAGGCGGCCACGCCAGCGTCGACCTGAGCGGGCGTCTGCGGCTGCCGGTGCTCCTGGATCCAGAAATCAACGACATCATCGACCGCCGCACGGTACCGCTGCAGGGTGAGCGGCGTGACCATCGCCTCCCTCGGCGGTTGGGACCTCGCTGCAGCTCGTCGCACCATCGCCTGGGCCGTGACCTGGCTCACCTTTGCTGCTGCTTGCGCTGCACGCTTGCCGGGGGCGGCCCTCCTGGCCCTCGCCGGCGGCAGCACTGGGAGCGTGGCAGCGGCGGCCGAAGCTCCAGCGGGACGGCGTGTCGGCGGGCATGTCGTCGGCGTCGCAGTAGCCGTACAGCGGGTACCCTGCCGTCGCGAGGAGCAGGGAGTTGAGCCGGCGGAGCGCTGGCTGCAAAGCCCTCGCGCTCGATCTGCCCTTGGTGCCGACTGCCGCGATCGCTTGGGCATCCAGAATGTGCAGGTAGCGGCAGCGGTGGTTCTCAACTGCCCGGCACCTCCAGCGCGCTCCAGCCACCGCAGCCTCCAGCTCCAGCGCCGAGATGTGCCCAGGCCGCTGCCAGCGAAAGCCTTTGGCGATCCGCCAGGCCCAGAGGTGCGTGCGGAGTGCTGCCCGCGGCCACGCGCGGGCGCGGTAGGGCGCCCCGGTGTCAAGCCGGACGTCCGTGCCCCCGCGGTCCGCGACCCGCAGGAACTCTACGATCAGGCTGCGTTCCAACTGCGGGTCGTGATGTCCCGGCTGCTGGAAGTCGGGGACCACGTTCCAGTTCGCCTCGCACGTGCCCACAGCGAGGCAGCTGCTGCCTGGGATGGCGGCCGCTAGCGCCCCCACTTGAGCGAGCCACGAGCCGAGAAGATACATGACAGCCTGGACGCAGAACGTATTCCCGATCAGGGACTCAATGACGCTGTCTCGCTCGGCGGCGGGGGCACTATCTTTTACAGCGGCCTGGAAATAGAGACGGTCGAACCCCATCAGAGCAGCACGCTCCTCAGGCACGGGCAGCCGGCCCCGCTCGCGCCTCGCGTCCCAGATGAGGCTGCCGTCCTCGTAGTTGTTGACCTGGTAGCGGTAGCTGTCGGCAGCCCAGCGCTCCGCGGCCAGCACCGAGGCGCGGTCGAGGCCCACGGGCCGGAACGGCGGGTGGCTTCGCGGGATTGGCCTCGTGAAGCACGGGAGGTCTGCCTCAGGGTCCAGCGTCGACCAGCCCTCCAGGAGCGAGGCACTCAGTGGGAGCCTCTCCACCGCAAGCGAGACCTTGAAGTACGCGGCTTCTCCCACACCCTTGGTCTCGACGGTGGCGTCGGACGCCAAGAACGCCGTGACCGGCCACGAGCACCAGTACAGGCGGGGCCGCCTGACGTGAGTGAGACACCTGGCATCGAGGAACACGGGCGTGACTCCAAGCGCCCTGGTGAACTCCGCCCTCGACTCTAGGGTCATGCTGAACACGTTCTCGACGAACCACATGGTGCGCTTGGGAAAGGCAGCCTCCGCTGCCTGGATCAGCTCGGGGACCCAGAAGAAGAGCCTCGACCTCGACCCCTCTAGGCCGGTCCCCACGACATTGATGCTCGCAAGGTCTTGGCACGGGCTCCCCGCGGTCAAGACGACCCAGTCGGCGTCCCGCGCGTAGCCCTTCAGCATCTCAGTAAACCGCGCCGCGTCGACGGCCTCGATGTTGCCAAGCTCAATCACGCCCGCCCAGCGGCGACGCACCAGTCGCCGGGCAGCGGGCTCGACCTCGCAGCTGACGTGGGCCATCACGTCGATCGGGAGTCTGGAGGCCGCCACCGCGGCCCCAGCAGCGCCAGCGAAGAGCTCGATGAGAACTATGCGAGGGCGCCACCGCACACCACGCACAGGAGCCGCAACTGCACCAGGCCGCAAAGTCACTGCTGATGCACCCCCTCTCGCGCAGGCAACGCCCTGCGCCGAGAGCCCGGCCGTGTGGCAGATGCCCCCGGCGCGCTCGCTGGCATCGGTCGCAATGACACAAGTGTCGATCCTGGCGCGCAGGTCGGTGTATGCCAGCGGCAGCGCCATCGCGAAGCCCAAGAGCTCGTCGCACATGCCAAGGGGAACAGCCTGCGGGCGCGTCCAGCGCCCAGCAGCCCACACGCTGTTGAGGAACCCCAAGAAAGGCCTCCTGAACTCCGCTGCCCTGACGCACCTGCCTAGGATCATGAGCATGCCCTGCGACGAGAGGCCCTGTCTGCCCATGCCCCACAGGATGAACGCCAGCAGCTGGTGAAGCTTCTCGGTCGTGACTCCGACCCGGCCGACGGCCCCGTCAAGACCCGCGCCCATCCGCCCCAGGACCAGCGCGCGGTGCTTGGCCTTGCCGGGGGCGACGCTGATCCCCGAGCGGCCGTAGGCGGCCCTCTGCTCCTCCTGCGCGCAGCTCATCGTGCCGAGGAGCTCCGCGACCATCGCGTTGGGCACCACCTCGCCATGGTCCCAGTCGTCGATGTAGTACTGGATCCACTGCTGCTCGAGCTCCTTCGACTTGAACGGAAGTGGCCGGTCCTTGCGCCACTCGAGCTCCGCGGACCCCGCAGCGAGGGGGCGAGAGCCGAACCCGAGGCGCCTGTGGCAGTGCTGAAACACCGTGACCGCGTTGATCCAGCCCATCGGGATGACGCGCAGCGCGAGGTGTGTCTTCCCAGGACCCGGCACGCCGATGAGCTCGTTCGGGATCGCCTCCGCCAGGGTCATGTACGGCTGCCAAGCCTCGGGCAGCTCGTAGCAGTAGAAAGCGGAGGCTTGGTCATCTGACGACCAAAGCAGCATGTGGCCCTCTGGGAGCGGGATGGCGACCCACGAGGGCGACGCGCTAAGGGTCCCGATGTCGTCCCTCATGATGCGCTGGTAGCTGTTGGCCGGGACCATGTTGATGATCAGGCGCTGGACGCACGCCTGGCCAGGTGACGGCGTGCCACCCTTGGCGACACCAAACGCCCCGGCGAGCACCTTGCGGTTCCCGACCTTGAAGATGCGGTCGTCGGCGATCGGCGCAGCCAGCCCCAGCTCGACGAGCTTGGTCCCGATGCTGTACCACTCCTGCTTGGACGTGACCTGGATCGCCGCCCGCGGGACCTCTGCAGGCCACTCATCTCGAGGGAGCAAGGCCAGCGTGGGGTCGGCAAGCCAGGCGCCCACCTGAGCGTCCGCGATGTCGAGCGCCTTGACAGAGGCGGCGACGCCCCGCGCGGGGAGGCCTGGCATGATCCCCGCAAGCGAGAGTGGCAGGGCGCGGGACGTCTCCTCGCCCCCGTAGGAGACGGTCCTCGACGCGATGACCTGGCCCCAGTCCGGGAGCTCGAAAGATGTGGCGGCATCCTGAACGAAATACTCACAGGCCTCCTGCACAATGCCGAGCGCACTGAGCTGACTTGCCGTGGGCCGCCTCGCGGCGACGGTTGGGCAACGCATGTGCCCCGTGTACTGGTAGTTCAGGCTGAAGACCACGAGCTGGGCCCACCCCTGCGCCGTGGCGGCGTCCACCTCGCAGGTCTCCGGCAGCTGCTGGTGTAGGTGCCAGGCGGCACGGTACCTCTCGAAGAGCGGGGCGTCGGGCAGCGGTAACGGCAACACCTCGCGCAGCCGCGCGAAGCTGGCCGTGGGGTCTGGCGAAGTGCACATCTTACGAACGTACCGCCCGATCGCCCCTGGCGAACCGTGCACCGCCTCGTGGACCGCGAGGGCGAGCCTGAACTTGGAGCTGACGCCCGTGCCCACCTCGGCTAGCATCTGGCGCCACCGCCGAGCCTGCGAGCTGCCGCGTAGCTGCCGCTCAGGCGGGCGGCGGGCAGGCAGGGGCGTGCTCGGGGCCGCGGCCTTAGCCGTGTCGGCCCTCACGCCCGAACCCAGGCCGTCCTGCGAGCAGCGCTCGTGCCGCGGCTCTTCCCCGTCTTGCCTTTGCCGCGGCTCTTGGCAGCCAGCGGCCTCCCGATGCGCGCCTTCCATGCTGCCTGGGTCTCGCCCTCGCGCCTCGGGTGGGCCGCCTTGTGCTGCGCGAAGCTCCGGCCTGCTGCCGCGTCCGCTGGCGGCACGCGGGCGGCGGCTGCTGCGTCGAGGTCCCCCTCGGAGTCGCTCAGGAGCTGGACCGACCGCGTGGGACTGCGGCTGGTCCTCCGCGCTGCTGGCTGCTTCCCCCCGGCGGGGGGAACTGCGGGACCGTCGCCTGGAACTCGTCCGGCAAGGATCCCCATCGCCTCGGGCGATCCCGAGACTGGCGTCCCGGGAGCAGGGGGCGGGGGGCGCGCCTTCGCGCGCCCATGGCCTGCAGGTGCCGTCCCCCCCTGCAACGGAGACGGCTCCCGGCCAGACCCCTAGCCCGGCCTGCGGTCCGCAAGTCGCTGGCGGAGCTCGGCGACCTTCAGCTCCCGGGCCTCGACCTTCTCGGCAGCGTTCTCCTCGTCCAGAGAGGCGCCTGATGGAAGCTGTTCCTGCGCGACAAGCGTGAGCCACCGTGCCGACCGCCAGTTCCCGTCGCGGATGGCCATCGTCCGCGCCTTGAACTCCTGCATGAGCAGATCCGCAGTCTCGACGACCTCTCCGCGCAGGATGCCGTCGAGCGCCAGTCCCAGCGCGCGGAGGACCCGCACCTCGTCCGTCCCCAGCGTCCGCGGCGGGTGAGCAACGAAGAACACCGTGTTCAAGAACTGCGTGACACACGGGGCCAGAGGGTCGGCCTCGCCTGCGGACAACTGCTGGGTGAACTGGCTGCGCAGGTGGCCAAGCCCGTTCTCGAGGAGAGCGCCGGGCCGCTGCCGAGCGATCCTGCGGAACAAGTCCCGCTTGATGCCCACGCCCTGGTAGCGGTCGCGGCCCCCAAGGCGCTCCGTGTCGCTCTCCGCGCCGTCCTCCGCGTCGTCGTCGTCGCGGCCCAGGAGCGCCGCGGTCAAGGCTGATGCCAGCCTGCTCCTCGACCCAGCGGCGCCTGTGCGCGCAGGGGCAGCAGTGGCGGCTCGGCCGGCCACCACCTGCGCCAGGCGCTCGCCTACCGCTCCTGCTGGGCGCGCAGCATTCTTGGGCGTGCCCTGCCTCGGCACACCACGAGCTGCCCTGCCCCCGAGCCGCGCCAGCCGCGCCTCGAGCTCTGGGTCCTCGGCAGTCTCCTCGAGCCCTGCAATCTCCTGGTCGAGAGGGCTCGCCTCTCCTGGTCCGCCTGGGGTCGGGGTGCCCTCCACCTCGCGGGCCCGCTTGCGCGGCGGCCCTCGAGGCACCTCCTCGTCCTCGTTGCCCCCATCCCCGAGCGGCCAGCCGCCGAGCTCTCCAGGCAATGGCTCGGCCGCGGGCGCATCGGTCATCACAAGCGCTC